GGACTCGATGATCTATTGAGGTCCCTTCCGACCCTAGCATCTATGAATCTATGAATTCCCCAGCCAGCAGATCACGGTGGACCCGAGGCCGCAGTTCGCCAGTTTTGCCAAGAGGTGATCATGGGATACCAGATCGAACGCTTTTTTGAAGTCAAGATATACAAGATCAATTTCCTCTCCCTTGTCTAGGTGATAGGTCACCTGGTCGTAAAAGGAAATAAGATTGGTCAAGCAAGACCTACCCGCAACAAACCCATGCTGGCTATCCCTCAGGATGTTGCCATTGGCCAGTCCATTAAGAATGGCCTCTTTGATAATCTTTTCTAAGACCTTCCCCAAGATAGAGGTCAGGCTGATGGGCCTGTAGTTTGCTGTATCCACTTTCCTCCCTTTCTTGAAGGTAGGCACTACATTGGCCTTCTTCCAATCTTTGGGCACTACATCAGAGCGCCAGGATTTCTGATACTTTTCTTTCTCCTGATGTAAGAGCATGGCATCAAGTGATTGATGAACTAGATGCTGCTTTTGAATGGAAAAATGTGTGAAGTCTGAAAGATATACTTGGAAAATATTGCAATTTAGTAGAAGATGAAGATGGTGAATGTCCTCTGACCACCACAGTGAAGCAAATGAAGCAAAAACTTGAGACTTACTTCAAGACAGGCATTCAGTTTCAGCACCAAGGAAATGCAGATTTTCCTTTCCTTGTCTTCTGAACTGTGACAACTGATAAAGCCATACAAGCAGTTGTAACTTTGTGTATAAGTGATGAGGAGGCTGTTGGCCTGCAGGTCAGAGAAGAGTTTTTGGATGCACAAAACGTGTACTATGTTGCTGTCAAGATCAAAGCAGATTTGAAAGTTATAGCAAGATACAGCAACTTGAGCAAAAAGGAATCCCAAAAATGTGTTTCTGATAGCCTTTGCACATTGTCATCTTCCAAAATCAGTAGGATCAATGACAACTTAGAAGTTGAAAGTCATGTGCAAAATATGAATCTAGATGTATATGTCCTGAATGCGTGTCAGGATTTTGGTTTACCTGCAATCAAGGGGCAAAAAACTGATCCCAAAACATGTTGGGTTAGTCTGGCAATACATCATGCAACTAGATCTAAGAAGCTGGTACAAAGTCTCTACACTGCTAGATGCAGCATACAGTTTAACACAGTTCATCACGTTGAGACCAACCATTGTTGAGAGAAACTTAAAGGAATTTCAGGAAAATGGAGTTACTATCCCAAGGAATCTTGTTCCTGGTTGTTTTGTTCAATTTTCTTTGGACAACATCAACATCTTGGAGGAGACATTGGATGGAAAGCAGAAATTTCATGCAGTGCAAATTGTAGCATTTCAAAGAAGGCCATTGAAACCAGTTGAGATTGAAGAAAGCATGGACACAATAGGAAGGAAAAGAACTTTAAAAAATGTACCACTTGAATTTTAACAGTTAGTCTGGTGATAATGACCCATAACAGGTCCTTGAAACCACCCATCCATGATACGGATGAAAAGGTTGATAACACAGCTCTTCAACAGATGTCAGTAGAACTACCATGGATAGTGGGTAAAATATAAGTCAATAACCAGGAGAACATTGCCGTACCAGGGTGGACAGCGTTTTAACCAGTTTCTGATGATACTTAACAAACATAGATTGTTGGATTTTTGTCCCATACTGCCTGCACCGGCATCTGAGTACAGCATCATTTGAACTGTCATCATGTGATGTAAAACAATTGCAGGATGCCTGGGACAACAGCATAAAGTCATAATCTTTGATCAGGCATTGTATTGTATTGCAAAGCAAATGAAGTTGTGTGGACTTAATCAGAAGAGACTGAAGGAGTAATCGTTCAACTGGGAGACTTCCGTATCATCATGGTTTACCTAACAGCAATTGGTCAGCATTTTGTCACTTCAGGACTTGAAGATTCTTGGACAGAAAGGAGATTATTTTTCAGAAAACACTGCCACCAACATAATGACAGAAAAACTATGCTATCGGAGCATAAAAGATAAACAGCAATCATCCTCAACTGCGAGGGATGGCTGATGAGTCATTGAATGAGGTGGTGTCTAGTGGAATTCAGCAGGGATCTAACATTCGGCCTGAAGTGATTTGAATTTTTCATCAGGGATCTAAAAGTAAATATAAAATCCCTATTAATGAAAATTGCAGTCAATACAAATGTGGGAACAGTAAGGTCAGGCAATGGTAGTGATGAGGATTGGCAGTCATACAGAGAAAACTAGATCACTCTAAGTGGTTTCTAGTCAAATAAAATATGTTTTAATACAACAAAAAACAAAGCCATTGGGATAAAACAACGCAGGCCATACCGATAGACTAGAAGGCTAAATAAAAAAAGGATGTCTGTGAGAAGCTTTGAATTCAGCCTGCTTGGTTAATCAAAAGGGCTGAAAGTGACTTGATTAAAGTGCATGATTTTTGTCCAAACTACCACGTACTAAACTCCTGTTTAATTTAATATCCAGTAGACAGAAACTGAAATCAACAAAATAAAATTAGTTTAATATTTTTTTACTTTTAAGCCTGAACACTATGTGTCCCCAGAGGCTGGAAGGGCACAGCGATATCCACCAGGCAGCACTGTCGGAGGCAGGGGCGTGGTGATGGCGAGCAGTGAGCTCCTGCAGGCAGCTACAGCGCTGTTGGGGTGGGGGGTGCCAACCAGCGGTTGGCGACCACCCACAGACACGACTATCAGCAACCGGCGGCGATCAGGGACCGCCCGCCAACACTGCCAGCAGTGTCGGCGGCAAGGGAGTGGGGGTTGGCGAGCGGCAACCGCCCACAGGCACCGCCGCCAGTGTCGGCGGCACTTTTTTCAGGGGTGCACCACCAATCTCCAGGGGTGTACATGCACCTGCATGCACCCCCTACACGTTGCCCATGCTTTTAAGGATGGTTAACCATTGGCTCAAACAGGGTTGGGAGGTGTGTTTGCTCATTTTTGGACTTATTCATATCCAGAGTGGATGTCTTTCTGGAACATAGGTTTTTAGCGCAGTGGTTCTCAAACTTCCTGAAGTCACAAAGACCTTTCATATCACTTCTGCAGCAGAACCTATCCCCGTCTCCGGGGGCTGTGTGAGCTGACTTGGAGCCAGGTGACCAGACCTAGCCCTTGTGGCACAGTGTGGCCTGGCTCACTCTGCTTTTACCCCCACTGTCTTTGTGGCAGCTCTGAGGACCTATTGCACAATACCAGGGTTCTGCGGAGCACAGTTTGGAAACCACTGCTTTAATGAAACCCAAGTCTTCGCGCTCAGTACAGGAGAAACTGAAATTAAATGTTAAGGGTCTGTGACATAAAAGAAATCCAAGTAGGTGTTTGATGGACTTTTCTGTCTCTAAACTCTATGCATGTAGCTTTACTGAAGGTATAGTTTAACTATAATCCTGCTTGTTCCCCTGTGTGCCTTCTTTACAGGATTTAATATAATTGGTTTACATTTCTGGTTGTTTAGGATTTTTTTTCCACTTTTTCTATCAGAGAACTGAAGTAGAGTAAAATGGAGGGTTCTGAGGCGCTAGCAGATGATCTGTTACTGAGGCATAAATATGTGTGTATTATTACAGGTCCAAAGGTCTTGCAAACTACGGGTATTCCTACTCATGCCAAGCTAAAAGCAAAAAACAAAAGATTTGGAATCAGCCAAATTGTATTTTCAGAGAAGCTAAATTATAGGGATGCAATTTTGCCCCTGCATTATGTAGCTCTGAAATTAGGGGTTACATTGTAAACTGTTTGCAGCACCATAACTTTGTCAGCATCGTTCTCTTTAATTTTCCTTTGCTATGGCGTGTAGGACTTGGAACATCTAAAACTGGACAAAGTGCTAGAAAAATAAACTGGAACAATTCTGAACTTGGATTATGATGGACCCTATTAACAGACTAGAAAAGAGTGTAAATTTTATGATCCTATAAAAAGTAAATATTTGATGTGTTATCCAAGTACATGTGTAAAAATGGGTTGTTCAACCTAAATTTGAACTTTACTCGATTTGATTTGATTTGGTTTGGTTTGGTTTTATTTTTATATAGAAAGTTTTAGTTTGCAGGGTAGCTTGGTGGGTGTGTGCGCACAGTCACATCTAATTAACTGTTAAGTCAGCAGTGCTTACAATCCAGGAAGGGAGTTAGTTGGATAAAATAGGGTTGTAGGGGTTGTGGGGGGGGGGTTGGGGGAGGGGTTGTTTGTTTTTGTCCCCTCCCTCCCCCTCCCCCCTTCTGGGGCAAAAAGGAACCTGGAAGAGTAGAACAAGCTAGTGCTCTGCCGTTCTGTATTTGAGTGAAGACTGCCAGTTATCCACTTAATCATCAAACGGATCATTTTAAACTACAAAAACAGCTAATGCATTTGTATAGTTCTGGGGAATGGGAGTTTCTAGAGTCGTGTTTCGCAAGCTGTGGTTTGTCGGGTTATAGCTGTCAGAAGGCAGTTGTTCTTGTTTTCAGCTGTGGATTTTCCTCACAGCTATGACAGACATATAAAGTAGCTGCAATTTCAGTCAAAAAGACTGAAAGACCCGGTCTGCTGCATTTTTCCACATACGGCCCACACACCTCTATTCCCCAACTGCCTCTCCCCCTCCCCCCAAATAAAAGAACAGTTGCTGGAAATTTGTGTGTGTATCATATGCAAGGAAATATGGTAAGAACAGTTTTGGCCGTTTGGGCTTTGGCCGGGCAAAAATTGAAGTAAAGCATGCACCAGTACACGGGGAGAAACAGTGAGCAGACTTGGGTACCTCACTGCTGCTACTCAGTTAATTACTACAAGATCATTTTTTTCCTTCATGTTCTTCCTTTCAAAAACAAGGCACATCTTTTATTCCAGGGCATGTTGTATACAATAAAATACAGTGCGTCCATTGTCCTCAACTTTCTCTGGTGCTTTGGAAAAGGAATTTGCTGGGTCTATACATTACTGTAGGTCTACCTTACACAAATTCTTCCTTTTTGCTGAGTTCTAGGGGCAGATATTGCCCTTTTCTAGCCCTAGTATGCTCAAAGGTGGTAGCTGGCTGTGAAATATTTCCTCTTACTACTCAGAAATGTTAGGAACATGAATATTGTATGTAGTGCAGCTGCTTCTTAACAATTCATGCCTCCATCTTGGCAATAAGGTTAAGATGCTTCACAAGGACTTTGGACAGAATTCGGGTTTGTCATGAGATTGGGCAAGTCATTAGCTCTGCTTTAATTATGTACTCTTTGAAGAAGGAGTAAAACAGGGTTGTTGAGAATAAACCAAGTGCTTTGATATTTGCAGAGTTAGAAGCCATAAAAGTGTGTTTATTTATAATTCATTTGAGGTTTTAATATAGGATATTATTAACTTTCAGCTTTTAGTATAGGAATGTATCTCCTCTGGAGGTTTGTTTATTATACAGGAGTCAAATATGCCAATTTTTGTTCTACATCTGTAAATCAAGAACAAGAAAAACAAATGGAATCTGAGGCGGTTAGGAAAATGCATGATGTATGCTCTTGTTTTTTCAGTCATATCTACCAGTAATCTGTTTCTTTTGCAGAACCCTGTGATAACATGAGGGAGATACTCCAGAATGTGGCCAAATTGCAAGGTGTTTCAAATATGAGAAAACTAGGCCACTTGAATAATTTTACTAAGGTAAGAACTTAACTGATACAGGTTGTAGAATAATCATACATTGTAATGATTGATTTATTTGCTAGGAACTTCACAAAATACTTCCTACCCTCAGGGAGCTTACCATTAGAATTTAGCTATGACATGACATAGCAGATAAGGTATAAGCACATGGTTAAGTTAATGTAAACTAATGCACATTTTGTTAGTGGCTGGATTTTAATTTTATTTGTAACATAATAGGGCCTGGGAGGCCTAGTCATGAATCAGTTATTGTGTTAGGTACTGTATGAACACACAACATGGTGGTTCCTTCACCAAGTAGCTTACAGTCTAAATCAAGATGTGACAAGACAAGGCAGGGTGTGTTCAGATGAGTACGCACGTGCAGCTTGTGACTCCTTAAGGCTGTTTGAGATACTGCACATGGTGCACATGCAACTGTTTGCCACGCTGCTAATTTGTAGCATGGTGCCAACATTTGACAACAGGAGATCCCAGTGTGGGGGAAAAAACACTGCAAAAAAAAAAAAAAAAAAGGCAGCGTGGCGCACTCTCCAGGAGCGTGCCAGCAGGCCCAGAGACTCTGTCCTCTAGGCAGACATGCCACTTGAATAATTTTACTAAGGTAAGAACTTAACTGATACAGGTTGTAGAATAATCATACATTGTAATGATTGATTTATTTGCTAGGAACTTCACAAAATACTTCCTACCCTCAGGGAGCTTACCATTAGAATTTAGCTATGACATGACATAGCAGATAAGGTATAAGCACATGGTTAAGTTAATGTAAACTAATGCACATTTTGTTAGTGGCTGGATTTTAATTTTATTTGTAACATAATAGGGCCTGGGAGGCCTAGTCATGAATCAGTTATTGTGTTAGGTACTGTATGAACACACAACATGGTGGTTCCTTCACCAAGTAGCTTACAGTCTAAATCAAGATGTGACAAGACAAGGCAGGGTGTGTTCAGATGAGTACGCACGTGCAGCTTGTGACTCCTTAAGGCTGTTTGAGATACTGCACATGGTGCACATGCAACTGTTTGCCACGCTGCTAATTTGTAGCATGGTGCCAACATTTGACAACAGGAGATCCCAGTGTGGGGGAAAAAACACTGCAAAAAAAAAAAAAAAAGGCAGCGTGGCGCACTCTCCAGGAGCGTGCCAGCAGGCCCAGAGACTCTGTCCTCTAGGCAGACATTCTGGCTGCTGGCCAGAGCATCTCCCCTCCTCTAGTTGTGCCTCAGCTCCTCCAGCACATTGGGAGGAGCAGAGAAATGGCCGTTTCACCAAAGTGGGGCATTTTGCCCAAGTGCCAGGGCATGTGCAGTGACAAAAAGCAGCGGCACAAATTTGTGCTGCTATTTTTACTGTGGCAAATGCATGCCCCTGCATGTGTGTGCTCATCTGGACACGCCTATAGAGTACAAAGACAGTGAGGCAGTATTGGTCAGCTTCATAGGGAGTCATCTGGGCATGCCAGCAGCTCAAATGTTTTGTAGGCTTCACAGAAAAAGACGTTTACATGCAGTAAGGACGAGTATAGTACTTAAGAATGAGCTATTAAATGCACAGTGAAAGAGAACGATGAAGCAGCGTTCTGGATGTTTACAGGGAAGTTTCCCCCAAGCATGTATTAAATTTTCAAATGTGTGTGATAGAAGGCAAACATTAGTTCTGAGTATGAAATGAGTGATGAGCTTTGATATTAGGAGATCAGTATATAGAATGTACCCTGACTTAGGGAAGGCTTTTGACACTATAGCTTATAACAGTGGTTTTCAACCTTTTTTTCATTTGTGGACTTCTTAAAAAAAAATAAAATTGTTGAATGGAGGTACAGACCCTTTGAATTGTAACTGTGTGTATTTACATACTTTTGATCACAGTTATTTTTGTGGACCCTTTAGACAGTCTGCGGACCCTCAGGGGTCCACAGCCCACAGGCTGAAAATCACTGGCCTGTAATATTCTTTTAAGTAAGATAAGGAAATAGTCTGGCTGAGACTACTATAAGGTGGGAGTATGGATGATTTGGGTAATTGTGCTTAAAGAGTAGACATCAGTGTCTTAATGTCACATTGGAAGAGGTGTATATCAAGTGAGTGAGGTTCCCTATGGGTGTTTTCTGCATTTAGAACTGCTCAGTATTTTAATTTAATGCAGGGGCTGCCAGCTTTTTCAGGCTTCAGGCCAGATTGACTGAGTTCAGTTCAGAGGCAGGGTGATACAGGGCTACCACTGTTATTTCTTGCAGCTACATGAGGAAAGTCTCTTGTGCCTCCTTTTCTCCCTGAGCTAGCAAATGCACAGGTGTAAAGTGGGGAATGACTGGCTAGATTGCAGTAATGCAGAACAGGCACTAAGCTGCATCTGAATCCACAGTGTAGCATTGTTGCCAAAACAGTTTATAGCATACTGGAACACATTTAATAGGGGTGTTTCAAGTTATGGGATGAAATTCTTCCAATCTAGTCAGCATTGGTGAGTTCTGACTTGGAATGCTATGCCCAGTTTTGGGCATTATACTTTAAGAAAGATGTTCATAAATTGGAAGAGTCTAAAGGAGTGCAACAAAAATTATTTGAAAGAGATAATGACATAAGGAAAGAGGTTAGAAGAACTGAGATTATTTAGTCTGGAAAAAAGGGAATTGAGGGGAAATTTGGTAAGTTTTTATATACAGAGGGAGTTGTTATGAGGAGGATGGTGATTAACTATTGCTGAGCCTACAGGAGACAGAACCAGGAAGTAACAGGTTTTAAATGCAACAAGGGAGGTTTAAATTCGATGTTAGGTGGATCTTTTAAATTAAGTATTGAAACAGAATACTTATAGAGGTTGTGGAATCTGCATCATTGGAAGTTTTTAAGTTCAGGTTAAACAAACATTTGGCTGGGATGGTTTTGACAGCAATATTCCAGCTTTGAGCAGGAGCTTGGACTAGTGCCCTCCTGAGGTCTCTTCCAGCTGTATTTTTCTGTACTTTGATTACAGGTAGGTACTGGGGTAGGCTGTGAAGAGAAGCAGCTCATGTAATGTGATTGGGGGGCAGTGGAGGGAAGCAGAAAAGTAGGAAAAGGATCTTGACAGTAGCTAGTAAAAATGCTATCAGTGGGGCAAGAAGGCTAGAGAAGAGAATGACTGTAACCTAGATATGATGTGGTAAAAGCTGGGCCAAGAGCTTTAGATGTGTTAATGCATTGGAAAGGGTATATCTAGAAAGGATATGCAGAAAAAGTTGGCCAGGGTTGTTAAGACCTCAAAAAAAGTTAGGACTCCGAAAGAGAGGAAATTGATAGCTTCACTTCAGCTGTGTACTGAGCTTGAGCTAATGGCAAAATTTCCATGCTGAGATGTGAAACAAGGTGAGAATCTGATCACAGAAAAACTGTTTTGGAGTAGCTAATTTTGAATTGAGTGTATAAAGATAGCAATAATTCATTTTGAGCTGTATTGGAGAGGTGGTGTACAGGAAGAAAAGAAAAGGGACCACACTTTTAGAGCCCGGTGTGATACTTACAGAAAAGTGAAGTGGAGATGAAGATGTAAAGGACACAGTGGGTCCATCTACACGAGGTGTTGACTGTGCAGTAGCTGAAAAATACTGTGCAGTAGTGTAACACAGCACAGACAGTGATAATATGCTACTGTGCAGTAGCATCCCCTAGAAGACATTCGCTGGTGCTACTGCATAGTAAAGACTGCAGTAGCATCTTGTGTAGATGCACTCACTGAGTTAGTAATTAGGGAGGAAGCAGGAGGCATAACAGTGGTGCTGGTGTTGAAAGTGGTTGGCAGCTCAAAGAGGGATAATTCTAATATTACAAAAGCCTAAGTGTGTCTGTCTGTCTCGCTTTATTTGAGCTCTGATTGGCTGACAAACAGAGTGCGAACAAGCGTTCGAACAGTAGCTGGCAGTGACGGAGTGCTGCCACGATGGTGAGGACACAAGGGACGGGGGGGCGAGGCTGTGCTAGCCTTGCCCTTCCCCCCCCACAACTCCCTGGTAGAAGAGGGGGGCAAGGCCAGCGCCGCCCCCCCTGCTCGCTACAGATAGCAATGATTTGGGGGGGGGGAAGGCCATGGGATCTGGCCTCGCTCCCCCCCTTACTCCTTACAGGTGACAGCAGTGGCGCAGGGTCGATATGCCAGGAGAAGGTGGGGGGGGGCAGGCCACCGGCTCTGGCCTTGGCCTGCCCCTCCCCCATCTGTTGTTGCCAGTTGCAGGGCCAAGGCAGTGGCGGTGTGGGGAGGAGCGGGCCTGACATGGGTTAGGGAATAGCAGGCATGCTGCAGTGGCAGCATTTGGGATGGGGAAGGCGTGGGCCTGGGCCCAGGAGGAAAACTGATCCCAAGGCCGGGGGGAGAAGCTGACCCGCCGTGGCAGTGGGGAGAAGCAGGGGGCCCGGCCCGACGTGGCAGTGGCAGGGGGAAGGGAGGAGCAAGTCTCCTCCCCCACTCGGGCTCTGGCCCACTCTGTCCCCCTGTTAGTTCTGAACCCGTTCCTCCCGTTCCCCCACCAGGTCAGCCCGGGCCCACTACTCCTCCCGCTGCGGCAGTTCAGCTTCTTCCCCCCCCCAGGCCATGTTCTCCCCTAGCCTTATTGATCACTTCATCACATTGACGATTTATGTTCATCTTCGAGTCAACTATGACTCCAAGATCCCTTTCTGCTCCTGTGCTGCTGAGAAGGTAAGTGTGTTGGTGGGTCTTTTTGCCCAGGTGCAGCACTTTGCACTTGTCTTTGTTGAACTGCATTCTATTTATTCTGCCCATTTTCCCAACCTGTCCAGATCCACCTGGATCCGTTCGCTACCCTCTGGTGTGTTAACTTTACCCCATAATTTGGTATCATCTGCGAACTTGGACAGGGTGCTCTCTGCGCCCTCATCCAAGTCACTGATTAAGACATTGAATAGCACTGGTCTAAGAACCGAGCTTTGTGGGTCTCCACTACCCACATCTTTCCAGGTTGATATCGACCCATCCACCACTACTCTCTGGGTGTG